AAAAAAAAAAAAAAAAAGAATGGAGGTTGGTGGGGAAACACACAGCCCTGTGCAGCTCAGCTGTATTACTCCACCCCAGAGGCTGCTGGTTTGAAAAAGATAACTCTTCTCTCTTTCAGAAAACTGCAGTGATGTATCTTGAGAAAACACTCCAGACCAAGTTTACTGAAGCTGAAGAAAAGTATAAATCCACCATACACCTCCTGACACAAGAAAACATGCGATTAAGGTATACGTGCTGCTACTCAAAAAGGGTCCACAGGGATCCCTGTGGAGGTGGGAGGGAGTTTGGGTAAGAGAAATGGATATGAGCCCAAGTGCCCCTCAGTGATGTCAACACACTTTTTTAGGAGGCAGGTGTGTCACTCTGCACCTGGCCACAGCCGTTGGCTGGGCTGAGGTCAGACAGATAATTTGAGGTGGAGTAGGGATTAATCTAAACCTTCCTCGCTTGCCTGTGTCTCTGTTTTATGTAAAAGGATGCACAAGGTGCATCTGCAAGCCCTGAGTTTATGTAGTGCTATGACTGATGGTTACTTTGAAACCCATCTGCCCGGGATGCTTGGCTGAGGGGTCGGTGGCTTGTCCTCCGAGTCCCTGGGAGGCACACATATTGTGCACTCGACTCCTAAGCAGTGGGTCCCAGCCAGCCAGCAGTGCTGCAGGAGAAAGGCCTGGCAATCTGCGTCTGTAACTATGACAGCCAAGCAAACCCTGCGGAGGTCAGTCCTCTGTGACACACGTTCTCACAAGTCAGAATCCACTTTGCCATAGCAAACTGGATTTTCACTTGGCTTACCCTTGAAGCTGCATCTGGTTCTGATGGGAAGTGAGTCTGGGACAGAAATTGTATTGTTCTCCAAAGAAGCATCTTAAATCATTTACAACTTATTGGGCCCAACCCTTTAGTAAGAGAAAGTTACTCTTTGTATTGAGTTAGTGAGAAATCCCTAGCATGAGAACTTGCCATCCAAACACGATTACCTCACTCAATCAAAGCCATTGCCACTCACTGACGTGATAAAACCACGCTCCTCTTTCCCCAAATAGCCAATGTCCCTTTCTCCATTGGCATCATTAAGAATATATCTTCCCCTTCCTCTACAGGCAAAAATTAGTTGCCAAGAATGAAGAAACTTATGAAGGGCGATCTGGGAGATTAGCTTCTATTAATGCTTATGAAGATTATTCTGATATTTTAGAAGATGGCAGAGGCCCCACCAGAAAACAAGAATAAAACCTCTCCCGTATCTGAAGACAGCAAGAACGGCAGTTCTGTGTGCCCAGGGAGCACCTGTGAGCCTGTCTGGAGAAGTGCATCTGATGAGTGTTGTTCTTGGATTGCCTTGATTCTGTTTTCATCCTCCCATGACTGGCCGTCTGCTCACTGGGCGGGAAGGCTTGACTGATTGCTCCCCTCAATCGTGCAGTGGTGCGTGCTTCTGATGGAGGAAGGAGCTCCCTTCTGGCCTTGTACTCATTTCCTCTTCTGCCTTCACAGAGAGAGACTGAACCAAAGTTCTTCCTATTAAACATTGTGCCTTTTTCTCCTTTGAAGTATTTACAGGGCAAGAAAGCTCACTGAAAAGATTTCAAATTCATTTTCTCTTAGGTGTATGTGTGCTGCCCCTCCCCTCCCCACTCAGGTTCTCAAATAGCTTGGGGATCACTTCAGAAGAGTTGGACCACCTTCTCAGAAGCTTTGCCAGAATTCAGCTGCCTACTGGGCAGGGATGAGCGTAAGCGCAGTGGGCTGCACATCTCAACAGCACTGGCACGGCAACACGTGGCCTCTGTGGGAGGCACTTGGCAAGGGTGGGGGAGAGGAGGAGAGGAAGGGGTGAAGATCACGAGATCCGGGCTCTCTGACCCTCTCCTTTTTCAAAAGAAGGTCGTATGGTGTTTAGGAGACCTCTGCCAATATTTAAGTGTTGGCAAGTAGTTTTTTAAATGGTGTGAGTCAGCTTTGGAGGGGCCTTGGAGAGTTACCGATGGGATTCTGACTCAGGGTGCCCCTATGTGCATCAGGGCTCTACAGGGGTTTTGATGGCTGATTCTTCAGAAGTAGATTGGCAGGCCTTGGTTTCAAACCACCTCTGTGTTAAATGTTTGCACCACTCAGGGACTCCCAACACTGGGGTTGGCGGGGTGGGGAGACAACTAAAATATGTCTGAGTCAACCAGAGAGATGTTATCAGCAAATAAGCCATCATTCACACACATCACTAATTCCAAGGAATGGTCAAATGAAACCACATTTTACCTTATTAAGGTGTATTTTTAAAATTAATATATTTTAAAAAACAATTTACTTAAAAAACAAAAAACTTTTTTAAAAAATAGCTCATTCCTAATATGTTCAGTGAACAGAACATAAAACTTCAAGACAGGAAGCCAGCATTACTGGCACACAGCAATGCACACACACTGCTCCTATAATTTAATACTATTAGGAGATTGAGAGGAAAAGGTGCTGAAAACATAGTTTGGGGAGAGAGTAGAAAGCCCTTATGAAATAATTTAAATTCTAAGCTTTGGCCCCTGAATTAATATCTTGTGATTTACATTATTTTGGAAGAAACAAAAAACCTGCTCAGGCCATGTGGAGCGCAGCTTTCCAGCACAGACTGCAAACACACAAAATTTGACGCTAATGCCCTCTGAAGTGATATTAATGTGCCAAGAAGGACCTTCCTTAGGTCTTGTGAAGCTTCAGTCTACACAGAGTCTTCCCCAAATACGGGGGCCTCTTTCCCGCTGCCCACAGGACACTGGCAAGAAGAAGGAGGCAGCTTCCGAGGTGCCTGTCCCACTCACCAGCTGGGCGTGCCGGCTGGCTGTGGCAGCGCCTGCCGCTCAGCCTCAGCGCCTGGTTGCTTGTTTGTTATTAATGAAGCCAGGTAGCAAACATGTCCCTCCATGGCTGTTGAGAGGTGTCACTCTCCTTCCCCTGGATACTAACCCCAAGCAGGTGAGATGCAAGTTCAAGAATTCCTTCGGGGGAAATGGCTTTCACCATACTGGCTCTCCTGGTGTCTTAGAGATGTTGCATGCTTCCATGAACACCATGGTCAAGGTTAAAGGATTGGTTCTTAAGTTCTTGTTTTTGCTTTTTAAAAAAATGCTTTGAGAGAATGAATTTAGGTGGTTCTCAGTTGCAAGTAGATAACAAATATATAAACAGTCTGACATTTAAAATAAACCATTTCTATGCTTGTTTTCTTTAAAACAGTTTATTTTTCACATCTGCTATAAGTTTAGTTTTCTCACTAATTAAAAGTGCATCTGAAATGATGATGATGGCTATTCTAATGGCTATAAATGTCTAGTACTGGCTGCTATTAGTGCAAAAGCGGAGGTCAGGACTTGACTTTGCAAAAAGAACATTTAAAGAAAAAACGAAAGAAGGGGGAAAAAACACTACTACACTGGACTCCCATTTACTTCCTTACATTTAAAGGGGGGGAAAGTGCAAAATAACAGTGATACGTTCAATTAAGCATAGTGCTGGGCAAAATTAAAGTAGCTTACAAAAAATAATTATACACCTACTCTTCACTTATCAGAATGGCTAGATTCTAAAGACTACATCATTATGCAAAAATAGAGGATGATTGCATTGTATCACTAAATGGAGGATCACGACATCACTGCCAAACCACAGAGAACCATGGTCCAGCCAAGTTGATACACGATCTTAGCGATCACAGCCAGGGTCACTCTCACCCCCCACCTCAGCATTTGTGACTGCAAAAAATGCACAAAACAGATCGTAGAGCTCTTCCTACTGTGATGAATGCAAAATTTCAGATAACGAGGTAGTCGATAAGTGAGGAGTAGGTGTAGTGTTATAAGTGGAAAGGGAGAACCGTTTACAGGGATCTACATACGACCTCCTCCCTGGGAAACGGACAACAGGAAAGTGGGTGAAGGGAGACGTTGGATAGTGTAAGATATTGCAAAATAATAATTTATAAATTATCAAGGGTTCATGAGGGAGTGGGGAGTGGGGAGGGAGGGGAAAAATGAGGAACTGATGCCAGGGGCTTAAGTGGAGAGCAAATGTTTTGAGAATGATGCACCGAATATATAAATGTGCTTGACGCAATCGATGTATGTATGGATTGTGATAAGAGTTGAATGATCCCCCAATAAAATGATTAAAATTTTAAAAAATATATCAATACTAATATCAATGAAGAGGAAAGTAGAGTTTTTTTCTCAGTGTGAAAGTAGGTTGTGGCATCTGTTTCCCCATGTTTTTCTTGTCATCCTTACTGCTGACTTCCTTGTTCACTTCCGTCAGGATGGTGAGAATATCGTCACTGAAAAACAGAGCATAACATGGTGATGAAGGAGTGGGGGGAAAACAAAGCAAAACAAAATCCAGTGAACTGTTTGTTTCCTTATGCCACTTATAGTCTTTCCCCTAAGGCATCAAGCATTTGCAATAATAACAGGCTAACCTAAAACCAGGGCCTTTAGTGAGTGGAGATGGTTAGCACTCCAGCTGCTGTGCAAAAGCCAGCCATTCAAATGTACTCAGTGTTGCCCTGGAAGAAAGAAAATCCTGGTGCTCAGCTTCCATGAAGATTGCGGCCAAGAAAACCCTGTGGAGCTCAGCTCTGCTGTCTACACGGGGAGTTGCCATGAGGTGAATCAACAGCCATTGGTTAGCTGTTGGAAATTTCAGCCAACCCCAGCTTTCCAAGAAAAGGCAGTCTCAGAGCTTCACAACTTATCTTTGATTTGTTGTGGATTCCTGCTCGTTCTCAAAAACCTCCATGTCAGCATTAGATTTGGTTTATTTCCCCTCCCCCCTGACTTCTGTGTTATCTCACTTGCTCCATATACTATGTCACTTAGCCCACAGCCCCCTGAAGGCCCCCAGCACTGTTTCATAAACCATTGCTTTGGGGAATTCATCTATGATACAACTAAAATTTTTTTTGTTGGGTTTTGGGGTCCTGATTCTAACCGACAGCAGTGATCCTATGTGAGAGAACACACGTTAGGGTTTCCTATGATGTAATCTTTACTGGTAGAGATCACCAAGACTTTTCTCCCGTGGAGCTGGGCAAATGAAAATTGAATGTCCCCTGCAACCAGGCTTACCCGTTCTGCAGCAGCCTTTCTATCAGCTTGGATGTTTTGGGGGGTTTTCCCTTCCACCTACCTCTGTAGCTAGCCCTTAGAATCTTACAGGCTTCATCATCTCACAATAGGAAGACATCATCTAATCCAGTGGTTCTCAACCCATGAGTCGTGACCCCTTTGGGGGTTGAACGACCCTTTCACAGGGGTTACCTGATTCATAACAGCAGCAAAATGACAGTTATAAAGTAGCAA